AGTTAAAAAAAATTTTTTTATTAAATTGGCTAAGCCACAATGTCGATCATCCAAATTCGGGTTTGTCCACCATGCTATAAATAAGTTACCCGGGCAATTGATTTACATCAGCCAATCAGATGATGAGACTTCGACCGGTTTTTTGGTAAAATTGCTGATGCCCGGTAACTCATTGATTCAGTCATCGGCAATTTTTTCATTTGTCAGATAAGAGCCGTAAACCTCTCTTACGGTAGCCAATCTAGCATTTTCTCTGTATTGATTTGTAAATCATATTATGAATATTTTAACAACTTTGAAGAATTTCATAAGATCGTCTCCAGCGACTTTACCAAGAACTCAGATCTCCCCGTCAGATCAAGTCCATCGACCTACAGCCGGTGCTTTTGGTACACAACACGCGAGTCTTGACACTTCTACCTTCATTTACACGTGGAGTGACAAAGTAATCGAGATCCGTTATAAACGGGATTTCAAATTATACGATACTTTTGATCTGAGAAAATACAATTGTGAGCAGAAATGTAATCCACTAAGGCTGAGAGAAGAAGGATACCTTCGTGAGATTGTGAAAGTAACTGATTGCATGGTTGGGACAAAGTGCCTATTAATATGCGCGCGGACTACCAAGTCAGAGTATAGATTTCTATTATACGATATATATGAGAGAATCTCACATATTTTACCGATGAATTTAGATAAGTTGATTCCTACAATAAATGATGTGGTTTTTTCTGAGAAGATCATACATAGTGTAAGTGAGTTGTACTGTTGTTATTAAACTTTAGTTGGTATTAACCACTATCTTTCATCAGGATGATGAAAACCAAAAGCTAAATCAAGCGCGCACAACTGCGTCAGAATCTTATCTAATTGTTATTGCGTCTGCTATTGGAATATCTTTATATCGATTATTACCTCCTACAGAGGGATTCTGTTCAAAATTTCGGGTGATTGAAGAGCATTATCAACAGTTATATACTAGAGAGCCTGTGTCAGCAGTGAATGTATACATGTCATCGTATCAACTTCATGGTACAAATGGTATTCCATTTATAATCGCAGGTGGCATGCGGGGACTTATCGAAATATTTAGTTATGAATTTGATCTAAAAATACAACAGATTCAAACTATAGAACCTCCAATGTCATTAGCACCGGTTACTCACATAATTTCACGTCCTCCTCATGCAGATCATGAAGGCCTAATAATTGTCGGACATGGTGGTCTTGATCCAGCATTGAATAATGATTTCATAGAACAGATCGACCCAAAACCTATGATCAGGTTTTTCAAAACATCTTTCGGTTTTGTCCATCAGACATGTCAAGAGTTTGAACAAAACTATGAAGGTCGTCCGGATTCTAATGTTAGCAAAGGAAGAATTTTTGCCATTACATCCGTTGTTGATGGTGTTGATTATGTCGTATGCGTCGCTTTGGAATCCGTTTATTTGGAAAAAGATGCCAAAGACGGTCCTGAGCTTGCCATATTCAAAATTGAAGGGGCTCAGACAATTTCGCTTATATGTTGGGAAAATATTTCTGTGCTATGCAATTTGTTACCAATATTGGACATTGATGCACCTATACGCTATGCTAGGTGCGAAATTCTTTTACCAGATAGAACAGTCCTTTTTGATCCGAACATTAAAGCACAATGTGAAGTATTCTACGATCTGAAGCCATCATTTACCGAATGGTTTGATAATGCAGAATTTATGAAATACACTCCATATAACACAGTTACATCTAATGGTATTAGATCTAAACGCAACCAAATGGATGGGGAGCTAATTTTTGACATGTTACTTCGATTTGTGAATATTGACCCAGCCTCTTATCCTCCACTTGATATAGAAGCGTTGAAAATTTTGTTTGATGATATATTCAAAAGCAATGATATTGACATGTTAAGGAAACATTGCCTCGTATATTATCTTCTGAAAGATTGGCAAGCTTTCAGCAAAAAACATCAAAAATATGCAGCTAGGTTTTTGATCCCACCAAATTTTTTGTGTCTTATGGATGGGTATTGGGCTTTAGATCATTGGCAATTCGCAGAAGCTATAAGATTTTTGACCGAGCCAACAGTCACTGTGGATTGGGATATAAAAGTTATGCGAGTACTGTTAAACCATGTGGGCCCACATGATGCGCTGAAATATGCAAATCTTAACAGCACTCAGGAAAAGTCGCCAGAAAATATAGAGATCTATATGGAAATTCTGCTACAGTGTGATATATGTGAAGCCTTACTTTTTCAAGTGTGTATACCATAATATACTGTAAAACCACGAAATGACGGTCATTTCCGTTATTTTGAAAATCGAATCCTTTAAAAAGTGTGCTTTATTTCTAAATAATGTCCGCGGGCGCTTCAAGACAACACACATACCAATGAATTTATAATGTAATAATGTGCCTGGAGTTTGTTCTTTATATCGAAAACATGCACGTGGGCATTATTCGAAATGACGCACAGGTGGGCGTTATTTCGTGGTTTTACGGCAATATTTTATTTTATGGCATTCATCTAACTTTTGGAATTTTGATAGCGACAACATAGAACTCGCGCTGATGACTTTGCGCTATTCAAAAAGCTGTTGGATTTCTGCTTCCTCCCGAAACCCAATGCAGATAGGTTAAATATATTACTTAATACTGTGATGGATGAGAATGAATGTGCGTTTTTATGTAAATATTGCGATAGCGAAGACCAAGAGACAAGGAAACATTTCTTAATCATTTACAATCTTCATCATGGCAATATTATTGAATCAATTAAAGAAAACGAATTATTGAGGCGGCAAGGTAAAAGCATTGGAAGTGACCACATGCGGAATAAATACATTGGAAGCATTATGGAGACTCTACCTCCAATGCAACTGAAGGAAATTTCTATGGAGGTTGATAAAGCCTTAAGGCGTGATGAAAGTTGGTATTTTGGTTTATTTTTAAATTTCCAGCAGACTTTAATATTTGCTTTAATTTCTATTATTTAAATCAGGAATAAATGGCATTAACACAACATTTGTTGAGCTGGAGGAGACAATGACTCCAGAAAGACAGAAAAATACATCACCATCCAACTTTGATATCCCAGTTTTGACTGATCATTCTCCTTTTACGTCGCCTCAGAATGACCGTACTCCAGTGGTGAAACAAGAACCATCATCTGGAAGGAGAAAGAGTCGAGCTATCGCTACTCCTACTCCTACTCGTACCATAATCACTCGAAGCATGGCTAAGAGTAGTGTTTCGAGTTGATTAAAATTTTTCCAATCGATTAGTAGTTATCGATTAGTTGCAACTAATAGTCATGTTTTCAATAAATTTGATTGGCACGATAAATAATAACGTGTTTTCTGTATCATTTCAAACCATTATGATTGGCTAAAAAAATTCCACGCTTTAAATTCATTATGTAGACAATCAACCAACGATTAGTTGGTTAAAAAATTTCCAATTGATTAGTCAACTACTGTAGTTGGTTTTTCAACTAACGATTTGGATCACTAGCTAAGAGTCGATCTGCATAGCTCCACATTTAATATAAATCAATCAATAAAGATATCTGTCAAAAACAATGTAATGAAACCATTTTATATTTATGATATGAAAAATCATACCTAGTACTTGTATATACATAGCAAGAAGTTCATATAATTGACTATCAATTTAGTTTTGCGTATTTGCCATTATATAGTTTAAATTAAAAAAAAAAATTAGAGTTAATGTAGTAATATTATTTTTGAAGTTATTGTTGGATTAATTTTTTAAACTAGAGCGTAATAGTAAATCATTTATTATTTATTTGATTTGATGTTTTAATTACTACCTGTATAAGCGCGAAATAACGCGCAGGGGCGTTATTTTGAATAATGGTCCGAATTAGGCTTAATTTAGGCCAAAATTCGAAATTGCACCCCTGCACGTTATTTTGCGCTTATCAAAATAAAAGCTATTATTATTATTAGGCTTAGCAAAGTTAATTTTTTGGTTCTCATAACATTAAATTTTGCCAACCCGGATTTTTTTTATAAATTAAAAAATAAAAATTTTAATTTTAAAACTACAACCTGGTAATTGAAATGGAGGGATTTTTTAGCCAAACAGATCATCAGCGACGATTCAATAATAGTACGGCCTCAACCAAAACAAAATTTCATGAAACTAAAACATCAAATGACACCCCACCTCCCCACCAAAATTACGAAGAAAGTGCAGCGAATTTGTAGAAATTTTTAATAAGGATCATCAAGTCAAGTTAACGCAAAGAATTAGGCATAATGGGGCCTGAGAAAACCAACTGACAGAGGTTATAGATAGAATTTTGGATACGTTGTAAGTATTATTATGAATATTGAATTATATATTTGTTACTTAAAATCTCTCTTATTGGTATTAGGAAAGATACTTGGAATAATCCAGCGTTTAGCCCCGAGTTCTTAGAGTCTCTGAGCGAAGGCACCACATAAATAATGTTATACTACCCGCCATACGAGCTGTATTGAAGGGCCTTCCTATAGCAAAATCGACCTTTGTCAGTAGGAAGGGCGGTTGGGAGAAAACCAGATATAATGTTAATAGCAAGACATGATAAAAAAAAGTATGAACTACTATATGCCGAGTGTTCTTGAATAACTTGTACGGTGCAAAAGGAACAATATGATGCAGTAAAGTTGTGGAGGGAGTGTAACTATGGAATGTATTGGGTTCGTAAGAGTTCTGGGCCCAACAAGGATGAATTTTGCATACAATTGCCAAGTTTCGGAAGAAAATTCGCAAGTAACATTGACCAAAAGGCTTAAATAGCAGGAACTATGATACGTTTGAATGTTCTTATTAGGGACAGTGCAGACCGTTCATCGTTACTACCATCTACGTGATGCAGAGATACCAGTGCGACAGTCAAGTCCTATTATTGTCGCAAATTTTATAGAAGTCCTATTAATATTGCAAAATATTTTGATAGTTAAAATGGCCTTACTATATAATGCACCAATACCTAAATCGCGGAAGATAGTTCTACTAGGGATGTTAATCGGTCTTTTAGGATCGAATCCTAACCGGTCTGATCCGATCCTTAAATCACATGAAATCAATTCAAGATCTGATACTACCTGGATTCTGTCCTTAAATTACATGAAAACATATAGGAGTGTTTCGATCCTAATTTTTAAGGACCATTCGGATTAAAATTCGGATCCTCTTTGGTGTATCCGGATAACAATCCGAATTTAAGTAAACCCGAATTCAATTATTAAACCGAATTCTATCTATGGTTTACATGATATTTTACGTGTAATGACCTTTATCTAATAGAAGTTACTTTTAATTGCATAATTAGAAATTAAATCCTGTAAGGTTAAAATGATTAAACGCATAAAGTTTTAATATTCGAACTAATTTCTTTATTAATGCACTGTATATCTGCTAAGTAATAATTATTTAGTTTTAGCAGATGAATATAACTATTTTTTATTAATCCGAATAATTAATATAAACAACTAGATTCATGAAAAGTTATTATTCTAAATACCTTTTTCGTTTACATTTATCGCTAGCATAAGTTCATTATTAATTGATAGGATCGACTTATTATAAACGGACGAGCAATAATTTTCCTTTCATTAAATTTCAACTATAATCAATATTTACGTATCTCTCAGTCCAGTTCTAGCTAACGTATTTATCATCAAAGTCTATCAGTTGTGACCAATCACATAAAAGATTTCTAGGATTATTCTTAGCCATAATCCATTATAAATTAGGATCTATCCGTTAAAAATTAACGGATATGAATATCCGCATTTAATCCGAATTATCGGATTCATCCGAATAGGTCAGATTACGGATCGAAACACTAAATCCAGGACTGTCTTTTTAGGTCCTAGGATCGGACCGGACTGGATTCGCAATTTAACATCCCTAAGTTCTACGGTATATTTTCCACATAGAGAAGAAGGAAAACAAATAAGAACAAGAAAGGCAAGTGACGTAAGTCGGCCTTTGCGTGAGGGTAGAAGTTTAAAGAAGAAAAATAATGCAAGGTTTTAGAACATATATCTTTCCATATATTTTACTTTGTTTTTTTTTATGTCAATAAAGCTTGCTCTGTGATTTGATTTCGCATACATAATCAGTTTATTTTTGACATCCGGAAAATGTCAAAACTACGTTTTTGATATATTTATTATAATTGTATCAAAAACGTAATTTCGGCCATCAAAGGGCGTAGAAGTATGAGTCTGTCGCTTTGCTCCAGACAATAATTTATATGGAAAACACACTATTAGCAATATGCTTCATTTGTCTGTTACATGTTTCTACAATATTACTAGTAGCAGACTTTTTAAAACTGTTTATTTAAACCTAAAACCAGATTTGGATTATTTAATGGGTTTGAAAAACTGCTACTTACTATAGGCAGTGTAATTAGTAATTAGATTTATTTTGCATGTTTAGAAAATTATAATAGTTTTTATTATATAGAGTTGTAAAGAGTTATAGTATAATTGATAGTCAGTCTGTTATATAGAGTTAGTGTTGGGTTGGACATTGGACATGTCCAATGTCCAGTCTATGTCCAGTCCAGTCCAATCCATTGGATCAAAAAGTATTGGACATTGGACATTGTGTAATATATAAATCATGTGATAAATAGCCAATCAAAAATCTTCACAGTATCACATCAAGAAAGTATTGATCACGTGAAGAAGATAAAATTTATAAAGGGCTAGAATTAGTGAAATATATATATAATAAAATTGCTTAAAGGAAACTTTTTGTTAGGCTACATTTTTATCGGGACATATATCCAATGCCAACACTATATAAAGTTATAAAAAATTATAATAGTATAGAGTATTAATTTATAATTTATATATTATATAAATAAAATATAGTATATAATAATTTATAAAATTCCTTAACACCAAAAAAAAATAATAATAATAATTTATAAAATTTATAGTTTTTTTAAAATAATTTTTATTTTTTAAACCTAGTTTTTAGTTTTTAGTTTTTAAGTAGTTTTAAATTATTTATTATATATAATATATCAAGTTCTTATTTAAAATTATATATTTTTAAAAAATATAACTAGTTCTATTCAAATTATTAAATATTTAAAAAGTTTATAATTTAAAGTTATAAATATTATTGTATAAAAAATTATAAAATTATTTTTTTAAATTTCTTTTTTATCCAATTAAAATTAGTATGTAACCCATTCTGATTGGCTAAAAAACATCTATATATACCCCAAATTTGGCGTATTAGATGTGAAATGACTTGGTGCACCATATTAGTACTTTTATTTAATAATATATACAGTATATAGACTATATATTACAGTATACGTATAATATATATTAAATAACGTAGTTCGTTCATTAATTTACTTTTCGCGTAATTGTGGAGTACGTAGTGACATTCTTTACTAGCCCAATATAGTTGAATGAAATTCCATAAAATTTTTTTCAAAAAAATGCAACAATAATTAAGCTTACTAAATTTAGCAACAAGTAATCTTTATAATGCATTTATGACAAGTTGAAAAACCTGTTAAAAATTGGCAAAAAAAAAAAAGTGTGGGGTTATTACATTTTTTTTTTCAATGCAGTTAATTCTTAAAAAGCATACATGCATTATACATTTTGTAACAAAGAATGAACAGGTTTTTTTTTCATGTATTTTTTATGTAGCTGGAAAGTCTTTTATAAAATTATAAATTTGGCTTAATAAGTATATAAATTAAACTACGCATTCTATGGTAAATTAAAAGATTTTTTTTTTATGCATTTATCGCTTTTTTCGAATTAGTGCAAGAATCAAACAAAAATTTGGAGAGTTCGGTAGTTATCGAAATATTGCATTGCTAACCCACGTATTATTATATTATAATTATTAAATATACATATACAGTATATTATATTAAGAAATATTTTACAGTACTTAGTATAAGAGACCATTGAAATAATTAATTAGAAAAGACATCACTCGAATTTGAAAAGTGAGTTACTCTAAGATTCAAAAGAATGAGCCAGAATCCGAAGTAATTCGAAGTGATGACCACATGATTAGAACTACGAACTTATTTTATGAATTTTAGATATAACGAATAGTAAATTTTTGCCATATAAATTAATTTGTTGTAGACCTAAAAATTTCGGATGTAATTATTATAGCTTTTATATATCCAGGATTTGTTATAGGGGTTCGCTATATAGCTAGTATCGAGTATGGAGTGTGTCAAATTGTACTTTATGTGGCTGTGGTTCTTATCAAGTGATCAGCACTTAAGCTAATTCCAGAATTATTTACGAATCTTTACGTATACACTTTTCGTTGAAGATTTACATAGCATTATAAAAATAATATTAGTGGCGTAAATTTAAAGTCTAAATTTTGTGACTCAAAAAAACAAAATCACAAGAAACCCATTTTTATAAAGTTATTTGTTAATCAAAAAAAAAACAATATAAATAAACAAATCATTATCTCGATATCATCTCAATTAAATAACGATAATGAATCACCCTAAAGAGATTTTGTATTTACTGATATTAAATGACACGTTTTAATCACCTGTAAGTTACCGAAAACATTTGAGTAACATACAGTGATTGTATGCATCGCTCTTTGAGATAATGATATAGTTAAATTCAAATAAGAATATGCATGCATCCATTTTATTCTTAATTTTTAATTCCCAAGCCAACGTATCCTTTAATTATTACATCTATCAATGCAAAAGACAATATCAAAAAGAGCGGTTACTAAGTGCAATGCATTAAATAAGTCTGGAGGAAAAAAAAAGTATTGTTCTTCATTGAGGCTGTACTAAATAAAATAATAAAAAGTGAATACAAAAAATTAATTTATCTTTTTATATAAATGAACATACATAAATTGTTCCGTGCAGAGAGTAGTTAGTTTATATTATCGACGAAAATAAATCACCTAATTTATTTAATAATCTAAATGAATCCAAGTTGACCAATTATTTACTTTTGGCTTACTCTATGCTTAATGAGTGATTTTTAAAGTATGAATAAAAATCAATACGTAGAAAAGTTTCAAAATTAGTTATGTATACGTATTGAAAGTTATCTCGCGGTTCCACTTCTATGCACAACCCAATTACGTGTATATATAGTCATTGTTGAAACGTGAGTGTACATAAACATTTTGTAAACAGTTAAGCCAACTTACCAAGTTTTTTATTTATCATGTTAATTAAATACGAAATTAATAATTTATTTAAAAATACGTAAACAAATTTTTTATAAAAAATTTCGGCACAGTTTTACATACAGGATACATTTATTATTACGATTTATAGTTATATATAACCTGGCATACATGCATTTTTTTTAAAAAAAAATCTTGCACTCATATCGATATGATGTAAGTCAGGAAATTATTTTCATACTTATATAGATTATATAGATTGCATAAGATTCAAAAGATAAAATAAATAATATATATACAGTATATATATAAATTATAAATGTTGGCGCAAAAATATATACTGTATATATGAAATAAAAGTATGTTATTAGTGATTAGTGGGCAGGGCAGAGAGGGAGTAATATTTATTATTATTATTACGTATAAAACAGGAGTAAATTAATATTGATCAAAAAACAAGTGACTTCTACATTCATTGAATAGTCACTAGATCGTGAGATATTTTATAGACGCAACAATTGAAGTTAATATTTAGCAATTGAATGGAGTTATCTCATGGTCTTGTGATTAAATCTTGGTGACTAAATTTTTTTTCATACTGAATTACTTTTAGCTTACCCGTCAAATTACCCGAGGTTGTCCCTCAATTTTTAAGTTATATGCTGTATGTATTAAAAAAATAATAATTAATTTTTAAGATTATAATTTATACTTTATTGTATATGTCTGTATATGTAATACATAAAGCTTACCAACACATTTTTTTAAAATATGCGGTTAATTCCGTTTTTTAAAAAAATTTCTGTAAAAGTAATTTCGTTTAACGGAATAGATTTACTATAACGATAACGATAACACAATTACTAAATTCTATATTTCCGAAACAAAGTTTGGTTTATCAATTTAGAACTTACTTTTTGTTTAGTTTTTTAATAGTTTTAATAATACCGATACGTACTGTTGATACTGTCCAATTATATAACTAATTGAGACTATCTAAACGCATAATATGCAATTAGATGTATCGACTGTATACGTACGTACGTATGTATATATTTATACTTTTTTTTTATTTGACAACTTTATACGTACGTACATACGTACGTATCTGATATAGATTTCTTCATAAGTTTTCACATTAAAGGTTTAGCAATCTTATACTACGTATATACTTTGTTACGTAAAAGTTAATAATACGTAGCATAATTTAGTAAAAGATATTTGGTATACGTATACGTAAGTACGTACGTAAGGTACAGTACGCATGTACTTCATATACTAAATACTAAATATAGAAACTACTTACTCTAGTACGTAAGATTAATAGTACGTAAAATTAATATTTGGAAATTAGAATAGCTATCTTAATGTTTTATTTTTATTACGTATTCTATGTAATTAATAATTAATATATATCGTTTTATATAGTACGTAAGATCAATAAAAATGGAACCAAAATTTTATTTGGATACCATAAATGTCTAATAAGGACTTACGGAAAAGACATTAACAATCTTGGGAAAAAAAAAGCTTTTAAATTAACCCGTCTTTTGAGATTTCTCAATTTTGTAACCGATCTTGTCAACAAATGTTCCCATAATACATTTATTCATATTTAATAAAGGTATTGATTGGTGTACTTTCTCATAGGATTACGATTTTTTTTTCTTTGTTTTTGACCGGCCATCAACTTCCTAAAAAGATGTTACATTTGTTAAAAAATTACCCCAGATGTTACAAACGAATTAAATTATACTGATACAATAAAGCATGAAAATGATAAACGAGATAAACAGCACATGAAAGTAAACTTTGATTAGTTTTATTTATGTATGTCATGAGGGTAAGACGAATATTATTAATGAAAATTTAAACTGTAAATATTAGTCAAATTTTTTTAAATATAATACTAATTTAGAATTTTCAAAGGAAACAAAAAAAAATTCTTTCACACATAATTTTTAAATTTCTATTTTTTTTTTTTTAATTAAAAAAATTATTAAACTAGTATTTTTCTAGAGATTGTAATAAAGAATCGGAGTTTCTGATCGCATAATCAAAAGTGGAAAAGATAAACGATTTACATAAGAGGCTGAATCAAAATCTTGCCGCCAAATTTTCAATTTTGTGAAATTTGTACGATTAAAACAAACAAAAATATACAGGACTACTTTTTTGAATAGATCCTTTTTTTTTGACCTGTTAAAATTCAAATTCTGGCGCAATTCACCGGTTTATTTTTAACATGTTAAATGCGCATACGTATTTAATTTTTTTTTTATCATGGATTAACGTTAATTTAAGCCACATATCGCGCGTGAATATACATTTTTCGTATACATAGTTTGACATATCGAAGTCAAAGCAAGTCAAAGCACAGGCTAATAAAATTTTAATGAGTTAATAAATATACAGGAATATACGAGTACATACAGTATCATGATCTTAACTTTCTGTGAATTTATGCGATGGCGCAATTACGTATCCTATAATGGTAAGAGCCAATTGGATTAAAATAACCTATTAATGCAGATAAATTCGATAAAGTCAAATAAATGCTATATACGTAGTAAATGCTACGTAGTAAATGCTACGTAATAAATGTTAGTTAATGCTAGTAAATGTTAGTTAATGTTAGTTAATGCTAGCAAATGTTAGTTAATGTTAGTTAATGTTAGTTAATGCTAGTGAAATACCAATGAATGTTAGTGAATGTTAACGAATGCTGATGAATACTATCTATCGTTCAGTACCCTGCATTAATACTCTGTTTTCCAAAACCGGATTAGATCGAAAAGAACTAATTCGGAATTATGATCAAGAATTATTGTTTCTTTGGCACAATCCTTGACGTTAATGATCAAACAATCCATTAATCCATAACAAACGGAAAATTTCTATACTGCAGAACTGTAAGATAAATTTTATTTTGTAATATACACATCATTCTATTTATAACGATATCTGGTTATAACGACATTTGGTTATACCAACATCTAGTTATAACGACATCTAGTTACAACGACATCTGGTTATAATATACCATCTGACTACAATGACATTTTTAAAATGGTTGACCTATATACTTAATATGAACATTTGGATATATCGGTCAATTTCTTTATTTTTTTGGGAAAGATGTCAATATAACTAGAGTAATGTAAACTTATAACAAGAAGTGATATGTCATGACATAATCATATATAATAAATTTTTGTAAGCGATACATTCGAACGATGCCTTTTCTAATGTGCATAATATAACGTACTACGACAGATACTACGACAGATACTAATTACTAACTTGGTTGATTAACCCAACTCGGTTAACGTTTGATCACTGCATTTTTTTTTTTCAAGAAAAAATCTAAACTTTTGAACAAAGAAAAATATTACAATCTTCGAAAGTATGAAAAAGAAAAAAAAACTTTATTAAGAATTAAAAAAAAAAAAAATTTTTTATATTATATATTATATTAAGATCAACTTTACAGTTATAATACTTGCTTAATATAAATTAGCGAGCAGAATAAGATGAACTTTGTACAGTGTAGGAAAAAAGCAAATTATAGTTCCTACATTAAAAAAAAAAAAAAAATACTCGTGAAATTTGTGAATTAAAAAAAAAAAACATATAAAGATCATAAGCCGCAAGACAAAAAAAGCAAATAAATAATATTCTAAATGTAGGAGCGGAGAAAATATTATATTTACAAAATTGTTTAAAGTATAGCTTAGAACAAAGTTAATGATAAGGGCAAACTTTATTCATGCTATATACTATTAGAAAAGTGTGTATAATATAAGTCATTTAGTAACTGGTCGTAGGATTAGCAGATGTCGAACGATGATGAGTAGAGTGAGATCGTGATTTCTTAGACTTGTAGTTTTTTATGTTTGGTTGCGATTGATCTTGATCTGAATTTTTCTTAAGCATATAATAAAGGGACTTGCGTTGTTGTGGCACTAAGATGAAGTGAGCGGCGTCTGATGCAATAATACTTTCGCTGCTAAAAAAAGAAGAATAAGTATTTCGCTTTAATATATTTTAATGTAAATAAGTTTTTTTTTTTAAAAAAAAAAATACAAACCTCGAACCGCCACCACAGAGAGATATGAACAAAGCCAAAAAGAAAAGAACCACATTTTCAAGGATGTTATTGGCCGTATTTGTTATAATTGGCATAATACTAAGCTCTTTAGTATTTGTGACAGACAAAAGCGAAAACATATTTGATACTTGTGGACGTGTCATTTTTCGATTATTGATTTATAGAAGCGTAAGATGGAGATTGATTTTTTTGAAGGAACGATGGAGGAACTTCGAATATGGTATATATATATGTACGTACGTATAAGAAAAAAAAAATGCAACCTCCTTTTCAGGATGAATAAACGCTTCTAGGATTTAATAAGGGACGAACGGTGCAGGGAAAAAGTTTTTTTTTTTTGTGTGAACGACAAAGTCGGAAGTGATGATCTTTACATTGGTCCTTTTATAATTTTAATTTTTGGTAGCGCCCATTTATTAAAATTTTACATTAAACATTTATATAAATTTATTTATATAATATTAACATTAATAAAATATTTATTTACAGTATTACGATTAATTGGACCATCATTTTATTTACTTTTTTACTTTAAAAAAAAATTGTGACCATCATTTTATTTACTTTAAAAAAACTGCATATATCATTGAATAGACTTTCTGTACTCACGGTGAAATATACAATTCGTTATCGATAACCGACCGATAATGCAAACACGCAAAATTACGCACCGAGACAAAGTAACACTAGGATTCATTTGTTAAACAAAATTTCTTAACAATTAAAAGTGTTATGTTTAATGAATAATAATTTCTTATACGTACTGTACGTAGTTATACTCAAAGTAGAAATCAAATATATATATATATAAGATAATAACGATAACATTAAACCAAATGAATAAATCAAGAGAAAAAAAAAAAAATTAATGAATTTCTGTGCAATTAAGCATTTTATACATATATACACATATATATTTTTTCCTTTCAATTTCTAAATATAAAATCTCCTTTTTTAAATAAAATTATCGGTATGAAACCTCCTCAAAAATGTGAATTGTTTCATAAATAATATCATAAATAATCATTACAATCATTACAATAATTATTACAATAATTATTAAGATTTCTTTTTTAACCACATTTGGCTTAATATTAAAGTCGTTAAATCGTAAGTATAAAATTTTCATTCGTTCTTGATTTCGAGAATTGGATTTCAACGTGCTGCGGAAAAACAATTTTTAAAATTCCCCTTATTTTAATTGGTGTATAATGTATGATGTCGGAGTTGATGTTGGTGGCAGTGCTATTCAGAGCCATATGGACTTGATTTTTTACCTGTATTAAATCCTGTACCTTATCGTTATCGATAAAGTTTTATCTGTTCGTGTCAATATCAATTTATTGTAAATAATCATGTATCATTAAAATGATAATGGTAAATATTTAAATTAATTTTTCTCTACGTACAATTCGTTCTATCATGTTCTTCACCAATGCATGACCATCTTAACTATGACCTTACTTTTGTCAAAAATCACATCATACACAATTATTTATTTTACTTTTTTGGTCTTGGCATATCGTAAATTTTTATTAAGTTCACATGTTTCTTTTTTTTAACTTAAAAAAAAAATTATTGTCACATTTTTTTTTTATTTCTTAATCGCACCAATAATCGTTAAAGTAATTATAGTATTGATTAGTTACTCGATAAAGTGACTTATTATTCGTCAAATTCTTCCTTATTGATTAAAATTATTTCTATAAATATTAGATTAAGGTGTGACCACGCGATTTTAACATGTATCCGATAAAATATTCGATATCTCAAGATTTTCAATACGCAGCATTACTATTTGTTTTTTCAAAGGTTATCATTCGATTTCTAAATATGTCAGTTCATGTGAATTTCTTTATTTAAAGTATTGTAGTATCGTCGTGTTATTTTATTGCATAAATATTATCCAGTAATTTTTTTTTGTATTTCCTGTATTTAAAATTAAAATTAACGTTAAGGTTATACATACGTTTAGATTTTACGTTACAATTATTTTTAAGTGATGTGAAACTAAAATTTTTTTAGAATCAACTAAATTCCAAAAATTTTATCGCCTGTTCAAAAGTACTATTCAAGTACTGTTCCAAGTAATTGTTGTCAACAAATAATCAATTTATAGGAAATCGTTTTTACAGTATACGTATTAATTTTTCGTTTTCATTTTATCTTTTTTAAGAAAAATATTTAACAAATAAAGACTAACTATTCAATTTTTTATTATAAGTTCGTATCACTAATTTTCTTGTGATCATGATTACGTATTATACGCATTTATATAAATGCTGTGTATATAAATGCTGTGTAAAATTTCACAATTATGTACTTTATACTACAATATATGATTCTCCACAATCATTTCGAATCATCTGGATCATCTGGATCACCTAAATGGTACAACAATTTTATTACGTTTTCTCCTTACAAATTTCAAATTACATCATTTTGTTAATTTTTTTAACAACTACGCCATTATTTTTTCACACCAAAGTCTTCCAAAACTCTGGTTATTGGTCTCACAACAGTAAAAACGTACCGTAAATGTTGAATGAAAATTTCACAAAGTAATTTGGATCGACGATAAACAAACAGTAAATATAAACAAAGCCATCGCCAGTTTTAGATTTTTATATAACTTTTCCCTTAATATCCTATATAAATACCTCCTTTTTTTGTGATACATTGTGCTAAAAAAGATTTGCTAATTTACTTACTCTTATTAATCTAATACTCTTACAGTATAAATTTTCATAAAAAAATACTTTTATCGTGTAAAGCATAAGAATAATGTTTGCTTCGATAATCATTTCTTAATTTAACTTACCGAAATAACGCGTTGTTTCCTCGTACAAATATATATATTTTTTGTCGATTCCTAAAATTGATATAAGTTACACAATGGAATTCTTAATAAACTTTGAATTAATAAATGAATGAATTTAAATATGGGTTCTAGAATTAACTCTATACATGCCGTAGTAATTAGTTACGACTATGCCGAAAATATTTAGGTCTTGATTTTTTTTCGGTAGAAATAATGCCGCAAGTTATACCGCAATCCGAAACAAAAAAAGCTGAATTCAAATTCCGATAGTATAGTGTAGTTATATTAATTATACTATGCTAATATAGAAAAAGCGATTTACTGTATATTTATTTCTTATTTATTATATATATATATATTATGAAATTGAAATACATTTACTTATTTAATAATGCTCAAATTTTCGGCTTCTCACGTGTCCAAGATTATCACACTCACAATTTGCAGCGCTTTTATTTTTTGGTTATAATTCCACAATTCTTTCGGTGGTCATCCAGCCGTATATTTAGACGACATAACTTGTAAATTTGTATAAAATAAAGATTTATAAATTGAATTATTTAAAATAAAATATATATATTTTTTATCGCTTGCATTAATTTTGATTTTAGTCGTTAACCATTAGTTGTGGTATAAATTTTAGCTTTAGGCAATGCCACATGTCGAAGTTCTACATTTTACGATATTAAAAAAGTATATATATATGTCATAGGTGAGAACAGAATTTAAGTTGATTCGGAATTTTTAAGGTTTGGGGTGGGATTTTTAGTATAATTATTCCGTTCTAATCTAAGTGGATTCCGAACCTATTATGATTTCATTACATATATACAACTTTAAATTCTTTCTTTGAAGCTTTAGTATTTTACTAAATTAAATTTTATCAAAAATTTTGTGTAAAAAAAAGTATCATACAGCACACATAATTGTTATCATATACTGTATAAGCACTGTAGACAAAGTGTTTTATAAAAGTAGTTACCATCAAATAATTATGTAAAATTTAAATAATCTAAATGTAGCTAGTTTATATGATTGCTTTTAAATGATTTATGAAAGATATTTTCCTTTTGTAAAATTCTTTGATTTCTCTAATACAAATATTTGTACAGATTATAAAGTTGTTAATATATGGGCTGCTGTTAATAAAAATTAGGTAAATTAATATTTTTTAAAAAAATCTCTACCTCCACTTTCACTGTTCATATCTCGATGAATTTTAAAGATAGTATTATAATTTTTAATATTCAAAAGAAAGCTTAAGTTCTAAGCTTTCTTTTGAATATTGGATCATCTAAATAGCTTCAAAATTCATTAAGTTATGAGCTGTGAAAGTTGAGGTATGAATTTTTTTTAAAAATATTAATCTGCCTGATTTCTATTGACGGCAATCATAATTATAATCGTTTATTGCTAAAATAAATTCGGACTCAATTTTAGGTTGATTTTAATAACCTTTGCAAAAAGGTGTGACCATGCCATGTAAAATCACGGGAAATCAACCGATTTTCCGAATATGTACACGTAGTAGATATGAATCTCGGAAATTTTCATTGATCACCATTACAAAAATTATGGGGTAGCAAACAAGTATTGTATCTAAAGATTCTAATTTTAGTGAAGACTTATCAGCTCAGTCCCTAAAAAAATTTGATATGTGACATCTTATTTTAGGAAATAAGTCCGAAAAGTTCCCAGAGTTTTGTTGTTTTTTTCTTTGATGACACTCCATATTAGTTACTAGAAATTTTATTAAAATAATATTGTTCCGTTCCGAAATTAAGCAAAACTACTTTTTGTATAATATCCAAATATATAACTAAAATAAGCATCTCCATACTATACTTTATATCAGTCTTTTCTTTGATAGCATAATTCGAACACCATATTATTATTAATAATTATAGAGTATTATTATATAGTAAATTAATAAACTATATATATATATATTTATATCATAGTAAAAAGTGCAAATATTAAAAGGGATCCCTAATTTCTCCCCCAGTTCTGATTGTATATTTGCAAATGCTATCACTGATTGGACAAAATATACTACGCCACACTTCGTCTACTAATCAAATTTAAGGTGTAACATAAAATTTCAAAAAAAAGTCAAAGTTTTTCAAAAATCGGCAGTAACTTAAAATTTAGATTACAAAACCGCCTTTCGTGTTCTAACAAAAAAAAATTCCTTGCAAAATTTTAGTATAGAATATGTTTTATTAGACCTTTATACTGCTTCAACGATACTTCTATTATTTGATCGAAAGGGAGGATTTTTCTTCGTCCAATAGGAAGTGGGGGGAGAAATTAGTAAACCCATATTAAAATATACGTATATAATACAGTAAAAATTATTTGCATCTTGTTAAAAAACAAATTATAAATTTAGATTTATAAAAGATTTAGATTAAAAATTTAATTTAAGTTTGTGGTTTAAATTAATTTATTCCATAAGCTGTATAATAAACCTATTATATAATGATTTCAAACTATTAGATTCATACTGTTGAACCTGTTAAATCGATAACCTGTCAACCAAATTAACTCAAAAGCGAAACAATAACTTGTCCATCCTTATGTCAGGATCGTATATATGACACCACCCTGGAAGTGTGTTATACGTATTATCACAACGTGTACATTTACCGAATTTTTATTTCTAATATTATACTTAAATTTGTCATAATTCTGTTCAACTTCAATACCCATGATATTCCGATTCTGCTGATTTTAAATACTCGAAGGCTCCGCATTCATCTTTTTCAATTCCAATTCCAAGGTAATAGAATCCACCAACTGGAAATAATCCTTCTCCATCTTCTAATTCGGTAGCTTTCTAGTAATGTTCAAAAGCTTTTTTCTCATTCTTCTTGACACCGACACTGTATTTATATTACCCTTTGTAACAGTGTCATTTAACTGTTAACTGTCACATATTACTGTATTATGGATTACACAAGAATAAGGTTTGTGGTACGTATGTCATAAAATTAGGCTGGGTTGTGAAACGGTCGATTTTTATTAACTAGTTAATACCATAATTAGCGGTCAGAACCTTTTTTCTTTCCGCGATAAGAATGGAACTTAAAAAGGCTATAAGGGGAAGAGTATAGCGTTCTTTATCAGTGGAGTTATCAAAATTCACATGTTGCAGGAACTTGGAATTCCAAATCGTCGGGATCGTTGACTTTATTTTATATCGAAAGAGAGATTGTCAAATCTAAGGGAGTTTAATTTCACCAGAAAAGTGACAAAATATATTCAGTATCTGGAACTTATAGCTGAACGGAGTCTCTTTATCCTATTAATTACACATAAGTTACTTATTAATTGTGTATTTTCTGATAGGTTAAGGTCTAATGAATGAGGTACAAAAGTAATGTCTTGTATTAATTACTTTTTTTGTTCGTACATATTTTTTTACCTGCCATATTTATTTTTATAACCTAGAAACGTGATAAGAACAATAATGATAATTCTCAGTCAGCGACAGAATATGTTAGATCAAATGTAAACCCTACCAACATAGCTCATTAAGAGTGCCTCTTTGAGGCATATGTTTTTTTACTACATAATAAAAATATTTTTTGTATAAAATAAAGAAGGGTTCAGTGGCCTTTCTATTTTTTTTTTAATGATTTTTGTTAAATAAATAGAGGGTACTGATATGATGTGCTATTATCACATAATCTCTAAGTTATACATATTCGATGAATATTAAATGATGCTTTTTTAATTCTTTTTTATGGAGTAGTATAAACATAGCAAATCATTATGTTCTTTATTTCAAATTAGATTCTGATACCAATATCATTTAACACAGATCATATAAATTTTTAATAAACAATAATGATTAATTTGTTGATTATAAATTTTATGTTACTGTAAGACTTCAAGTATATCATTAAAATCTAAGTTCGCTCCACATTCTAATGTAAGATGTCTATTCCATTTCATTTCATACCATTGAATTACAGTAATAATTTTTCTCGCGGGCAAATGACCAAGATATGGAGCATGAGAAGGACAAGCCGTTTTGGGTGTTGCCGCCACTGAAACGATGCCTGGATTTGAATTTGCTGGAAACGCGGTTTCAATAACCGGAATAACGATGATCACAAATTCTGTGGTCAGACAGTGGGGTTGAATGCGTGCGAATTTATTTATAGCATTATCACGATTTCCAGAATTGTCATAGATAACCTATCAATATTTTAGCTGATTATCAAGAAATAATTGCATAATTCTGATAAGGGAATAAGATCTTCACCTCGATCCACAGCAACGGTGGTGGATATTGATTAATTATAGGTTTAACTCTTTGATTAAGTGGTGGTTTAGGGTTCCAACCACCTACATCAGGTTGATAATGATTACCATTAATCACACATACTGTATTAATCATAGTCAACCAAGTTGGTGGAAGTTGTTGATCAAGTGAATACATTATTTTCTTATGTATTTCTTGTTTCATCAAACCATCAAACTTGAATAGTAACAAAAGAATTAGAAAATGCATATAAAATAATTATGAAACAAAAATAGTACCTTGCCTTGATAAACAATTTATTGTCAACAATTTCAGCACTAAAAATATTATGGATCGTTTCAAAAATTTTATCACGTTTCTTGCCCTTGAGGTTAGATGAGTTTTCAACTTTTCAAATGCCTTTTGCTAGTCATCACCCCAGTCATATCTAACATTTTTCTTCAATAACTGATGTAGGTGCCTTGCCGTAGTTGCGAAACCTTTGATAAAACGGCGGTAATAGGATGCAAGTCCTATAAAGGCCCTTAATTGCCAGAGAGTTCTTGGTATTAGGTAATTTTTAACTTTTTCGATCTTTCCATCGTCTGGTTGAATGCCGACTGGGGTAAAATCGCCACCCAAAAAAGTTTCGAGCATCACATGATAAATATGTCGAGCACCAAAAAAGTCATTTAACTTGAGCAAACAAAAAATTTACAGACTAAAAAATAATAGCGATAAGCAATAAATTAATCATTTTATTATTTCAAATAAACTCAATAAACGTAATATTTATTACAGTCATAAAGTATTATTATTACAGTACGATTTTTCTTAGTATTTGAATATTCCAATTTATGCAATGGCTCAAAATTTTTATTATCGATCCATTTGTTACTATTTGGATTAATCATGTTTTCTTCAATAATTTTTTTGTTGCGTTCTGGATTCAGAGTTATAAAACTTTTTGCTCAAATAAGTAATCAGTTTATAATCTTCCGGAAAGCATTCAAAATAAAATCTATAAGATTTTCTGGTGTAATTGTGATTAGTTTTTATTAACATTAGAATATTGAGTTATTTGATAAAGATTACAACGATCTTTTTACATTTTGAAGAATTGAAGAAAACAAAATCATTTCTGAATCAATTAACACTTTATTAAATATTATTATCATGATCCTAATCATGATGAATTGACAATACCACATGATTTTCGAAACTTTTTTGGGTGGCAATTTTACCCCGGTCCGTTATTTCGCGAAAATACGGTATATATTTTTCAGACTGATAATTAATAGTTATGAGGCACGAAGTACCGAATAACTGAAGTATTTGCAGAATGTGATTTGATTGGTCGATTTTAAGCACCGAAGGTGCGCAAAATTCGACCGATCAGATCATATGCGCAAATACCGGTAAGGTACCATAGTATTCAAATTTTAGTAAAGCGCGATAGCGCTTTACTAGAATTTGAATACTATGGTACCGTAGTTATGAGTTGCTTCGTGCTTTTATATGGCATTTATATTTGTTGGATTTGCATACCAACTGTTGACCGGCGTTTGAGATTTTAAATTTTTATGCACATGAGTTACACGCGTTGTCCGGATATATTTTAAATCCGGAACGGATTTAAAATATTTCGGATAACGTGTGTAACTCATGTGCATAAAAATCATAAAATTTCAAATGTCGGATAACAGTTGGTAAATGCAAAATCCAACAACTAGAAAATGCCGTATAAAAAAATATATGATAAAGCTAAATATTTCTTATAGCGAAAATATTCCAAACCAATGTTATTTCCTGATGAATTTGAAGAAGATACAAAAAGATGATCATTTTGGATGAACATAAGCATGGTACATCGTTGATGGACATGAACCGAACGAATATGATAAAGAAAGAAAATCATAAATATGATGAAGAGGACGATGATGGAATTTTTTGTGGTGATCCATTATTAATTATTGAATATAATAATGCGGGCCTTTTCAGCCGAGATATTACAGAAGATCAAGGTATGACCATAAATTTTATGATATCACATTCAGTTTTTTTTTTCCCTCTAATTACAGTATAATTACAGTATAATTTTCTTTGGATGGAATACGCTAGATTATGACAACTATCATAAAAGTTTGTTCGGATATTTTCGTTGATTCTTGATCCGATATTCTTTTTTTTTCGTTCTTTTTACATTCAAAATGTCAGCCCAAACCCTAGCACTGTCGAAGATTATGATGATCTAAACAGGATGTTCATGGGGCATAAAATCGATATCATTCTACTTTGAAGGTGTCCATTATTAATTCCGCTAATACCCAACATAGGCCCCATTTTGGCCCTAATGAAATTCCCCATAATTTAATATTTAGAAAAAGATGAAGAAATAATTTAATATTTAGAAAACGATGCTGAAATAAAAAGTCTAAAAAAGATGTAATTTCATTGGTACGTACGTTTAAGTCTAGAAATTTCTGTATCCTCAGATGTAATTTAATTTTCAAAAGGTAATTGCATATAGAGACAGTCTTCTTTACAATAATAAGTAAACGACTTTAAAGTTTTTTTTTCTCCCTAGTCTCTGGCCTCTCGAACAGTATGCTTCCACCAATGTCTGTGCCGCATTTAAATTCTGATCTAACACAAATTTTAATCTTATGCACGAATCTATAAGAATTTCTTTTTTTATGTACGTATGCGATGTGCTGAAAAAAAAATAATTTATTAATAAACTGAAAATATGTATAGTTTGGAAGTAAAGCCTTGAGACTGTCTAATTTTTATGCGTGATCACTTGCACAAGCTAATTCAATTTCATATCAATACATTGATATACAGTATAACGTCACGTAAAGAGACACGTAAAGAGAATTTTGAGCAACTTTAAAAAATATATATATTTCACATAAATAACTAATACCATAACAGATAATGAAAATTTATAAACCTTGATTTGCATATCATTGAGTCAAATCAAATCATGTTTTTTTTCTTTTATAAGTGAACATTCTATAAACACTTTTTTTTTGACGACGTACATGTACATGAAGGGCTTATTGTATCGCTTCTTTCCTCTTCATTGAAATCTAAGAGCCTTATCAATGCATTTTCTCGAAGTGATGTAAATCTTCGAATGAGTCGACCAAAAAAAGCATAGTAAAATCGACAAAATCAGCATTTATTCTTAAAATATCCAACGGCTCAGGATATTTTTATTACGTAAAAAGACGATTTCTATTTGTACATTGGTGTATGAAACACGAGTACATATCATAACTTAAAATTTCGCTTATGAAACCACTCCTTGATTCTAACAAAAGCTTCTTGTAAAATTTTAGTATAAACTACACCTTAATCTTAATCTTTAACTCTAACCTATCTAAACTTTTAATTCTTTTTAATTCTTTTCTTTAAATTTTGCATTATATTGATTTACAAATTATACCCGTGTTTCATACACTGGTGTAAATTAATAAATGATATTGTCTACTTGTTACTAGTGATGGGACCTTCGAGTTTTTAATTATTAATAATAAAAAAAATTAATAATTAATTACTAATATTAATCATTAATAATTTCAATCATTGTTAAAAATTTTTCTGAAATCAACAAAATATATTCATAAATAACGAAGAACTATTCCAAAATGTAAATATTTTTGATTCTACTGTATATGAAGAAACTATTCTAACACGTAGATAATATATTTTTGAATATATTTTTATATTCTTCAATGTATAAATTAATAATTTTTTAGATAGTTTTTTATTGATTTACTGCGCTCACATTATTAAGTAGTTTTAGTTAATAGCTCGACCAAATAGTTAATAACAATTATTAATTATTAATAATTCAAAAGGTCCCATCACTAACTTGTTATAACTCAAAAATAACTTAAATAGTCACATTTGATGCAGTAAAAATATTTAGTATATACTATAAAAACCCCTATTCTAGCTTTAACCTTAACCCTAATCTAATTCTATTTTAATATTACCGTAAAACTCTGAAAATAAGCACCATTTTTTTAATTAATGGAGGTGCTCATTTACTATTATTTGAAAACAGATAACATGATTGATCAATCTTGTGATCACCGGATAACGACGGTGCGTAATTCTAACGCGCTAATTTTAATTTTAAAATTTATTCGGCACGGCGGGAATAATGAAATATTTCCCCGGATTTTTCGGCTCCGACAAGAGCCGAAGAGAAAAAATCCGGGGAAATAGTTGACTATTATTCCCATAACGGGTAAATTATCCCGTTATTGCAGCCGTTTTCAAAAATGTGTGAACAACGATTTTGGAAATTTAAATTAGTAAAAATTAGATATCGTGAATTCCCCCATGACATGGTGATCTGCGACCGTTCACACCTTTTTGAAAACAGCTAGTAATTACGGCCGGGAGGCTATTTCCCTACTGAGTTTGAATTTAAATTTGTGATTTAATAACACGATAATCCCACAAAAAACAATTAGTAAAACGATGTAAAAAAATCATAAATTGCCGGATATCAATACTGGACAAATTGTCGAATACAGTAATTTTGGCAAATGATTGGCTGACACGTGCTCATTTGTCAAATTACAATTTTTGCCCAGTATTGTATACATTTAATATTTCTTTGGTTCTTATAATATTATTTGCTGCGCTATGACCTAACGCTAAACCTAAATTTTATTTAAAATCAAGTACGAGTCCACCTGTAGTGTAATCTCTAGCTAAAATAAAAACGGTCATAATGTTACATTCTTAAGTGATTGACCAATCAAAAGAAAGTTATCATATATTTGTGTATAATTCTGAGACTTTAATTCAAACTGAGATTTTGAAACTTAAACGTTAAATCTGTAAATTATAACCTGAATAATAAAGTTCTGTTTCAAGCAATTAGATCTTATATGTATTGTAAAGAAATGAGATAATATAATTTACAAGGTAGAGAGATACTCAAAATTTTATTGTATTTTGTAGGTATTAAGATTGCAGATCATTTAATTTTGACTAACGTTAACGTTAACTTAAAGTTGACCAATAATGGTGTATAATTATTATATAATATTAATTAACAAAACTCACTACGATTTGGTGATTTGGCCGAGTTGGTCTAAGGCGCCGCACTCAAGTTGCGGTCTCGAAAGAGGCGTGAGTTCGAATCTCACAGTCACCACATACAAAAAGTTTTTCTTTTTTTTTACAGTACGTACTAAATATTCATAACAGATAATGACAAATATTTTATCAGTTATCGAAATTATCGAAATGCCTAACGTTAAAATTTTTAGTAACCATGCACAACGTAACAATTATTTTCGTCTTACCGCGCATTAAGAGTGAACAACCAATAGTATTCAACTTTCAATTATCGTACGCTTTTATAGCTTTATATATTTATGTCTCTCATTCTTTTCAACTCAACATAGAGAAAAAAACTCACCCCATACGTTCCTTCTACATATAGAAAAAACCTACAAATTTTCCTGTCTGTTTATTATCTCTAATTCTTTTAAATAAAACTTCCATCGATTAAGGTAATACTTTAAAAGTTTGGAAATGGCAGCCATCGCCGAACCTCAAAAAGTAAGCCCTTTTCTTTGATTGCGATGTATACTCAAGTTTCGAAAAAAAAAAAAGTCTATTTCTCCCATTGTCTTAAGGTTTTTATCTTCAATATTAAAAATGTTTTTAATTTTTAATTTTTATACTCGTAGATGAATCTTAATGGTTACGTAGGGTTTGATTCCATCACTCGACAAATCGAAAAGAAATTACTGAAGCGTGGTTTTCAGTTCAACGTCATTGTCGTTGGTATGTTCTTTCACTATAAAGTTATTTATCACTTTATGAATACAAAATTCTTTTCAATACAACTAAATAACCCTGTCATAAAGTTATTTATTGACTCTTGCCTAAAAACTTGTGTGTTACAGGTCAAACCGGGCTCGGTAAATCAACCCTTATTAACACCATTTTTGCTGCTCATTTGATTGACAGCAAAGGCCGTACCAGTTCTGAAGAGCCTTTTAGACAAACCACCGAAATTCAAACCGTTTCACATTGTAACTATAAATTTCTTCAATTGGTCTCGAGATTCGTATATTAATAAAACGCGTCAATTTATTTATTTTTTTTTATTTTTTTTTAGTAATTGAAGAAAATGGAATTCGTTTGAGGCTAAATATCGTTGATACCCCCGGATATGGCGATCAAGTCAACA